AACCATGCTTCTTCAAGCTGTTGCCAAAAGTCATTGGCATCATCATATTCTCCTTGAAGATAGTCATTCATATCTTCGGCAAGAATAGCATCATATGCTACTTGGTTTGACTCCCAAGTGTCCTCATAAGGATTCTCTTCAAAGTACTCTTCTGGATATGTTGTCTGTTGCTCATCAGCAAAATGGCCTTTACCTCGTCTCTTTCCTTTTCCTTTTCCACGAGGTCTGAAGAATCTACGGCCTGATCTTCCTTTTCCTTTTCCTTTTCTTCTTCCTTTTCCTTTGCCTTTTCTGGCTCTTCTTCCTTGGAATCTCCTTTGGAACCACGAGAAGTTTTGATCATCATATACCCAAAAGACATCGTCCAGGGCATCTAAAAATCCTTCTGTTCCATCTTCTTCATCTTCGGCCCAATAGCCAAATGTACCATCGAGTTCTCCTTCGTCTAGTACGAGAAATGATCTTCTACCTCCAGCACCTGTCGGCTGCATCAAGGGATTGTCTACTGAAGTCTTTGTCGTGCAGAACATCTCGATGAACACTGTCCTCAACTCTGTTGTAGTGTATTGCTGCAGGACCCTGCCACGATGAGTCATCAAAGAAGTCAAAGTGTTTCGCTGGTCCTGAGACAAATCTGCAAGCGACAGCATGAGTAAGGCAATGAGATTTTTTCCTAGAGGAAATTCGTTCTGATGAAAAGTCCTCATATTGCCATTGATGGTCTGCATGATGTCCTGAATCCTTTCTGCCGTTGGTGCTACTCCAGTCAACGCTGCATCTGCCTGCATCTGAGCTAGGACTTGTGGATGTGCTTGAGTGACTGGTTCTAACATGTCCATCCAACTGCTCATAAGCCTTTGGAGTAAAATCTGGAATCTTGTCATCCATTTCATCATGTCAGCTGATCCTCGATTGAAGCGCACGAATTGCATGAACCTATACAGGAATACATTGGTTGATCCTTTTACAAAATATGGTCGTAGTACTCGTTTGAAATATTCTACGCCGGCTCCTGGTGGATCATTTGCCTTCAATGCATCTCTGTCTAAAACACGCTTGTATACAGCTGCTTCTCCTTCTAATCTGTTTCTCAATGCTGGTCCTCTTTTCTCATCTTCCAGCTCAGTGATATCACACCAATCGTCTATGGCATCCTCATAGGAAAACCATGAAGTCTTTCCATCATAAGATGGGGGCACCTTTGTAGTGACCTGTGTTGTCATTGCTATTGCTGCTGGTTCTCTTCTCACATGCCTATTCACGTAGGCTGCTGGCTCATAAGCCACATCCGCATCAGGCTCTTCCCAGTCGTCTATCCAATCCATGGCTGTTTGCCCACTAGCAAGTCTATGCCTAGGAAAGGAGCTCACCTGGGTCTTCCAGGATCACTGCTCCGCTACCACTGAAAGAGTGACTAGGGCGTACACGGTAGAGGTGCAGACCGCTAGTGTCTTTTATGCGCAGAGTCTTATCCTCTTGCTCTTTGAGCCTTGAAGCAGTCAAGCATGGACACACTATATCGGCTGTTGGAGTGGAACCCTGTACAGGTAGGCTCTACTTTTCAGGGGGGGGGTTCAGTTACGTCGTTCACGGAACGTCGTCACGGAAACCAGCGGGTTCAGTTACGTCGATACGTCGTCGTCGATACGTCGATAGCACCGCAGTTTTGGCAGCTCAATGCGTTCGTTGTCCCTTCGTTGTTGTGGTGTGTCTTTGTGTGTTGTGATTCTTCTTCGTTTGACTCGTCTTTTGTCTTTCCGCCTTCGTTGTTAAGTTTTTTTTTCGCGTGGACATTGTATTCTTGGACAGTTTGCTGGACCTTTCGACGTCGGTCAAGGATTCTCTAGGTGTAGCCGCGCTCGACATTTGTTTAGATCCGGACCGGTGGGTTTTAGATTTCGATTCTCTCGAGGTGTACGGTGAATTTTTGCGGTTGTGTTGGGTGTCCGTGTGGGACCAATTCAACAGACAATCGTTCGTACCACCTACGGTCACGGCCGCGTTGCAGTTTGTGTGGAGGTACAGTGCCTCCACGCAAGATGCCACGGAAAGACTGGCGTCCTTGTAACCTGAGTTGCGCGAAGAAAAGTCAGTTTGCAACTTTTTGGGGGTTGGACAGAAACGTACACTTGTAAATCCCCTTAGAATTTCAGATCAACGTCCAAAAAAAGGTGGGAATTGTGGAGCGAAATGAACATGCGAACATATGGGACAACATTGAAAACATTGTGAAGGACCATGGATGCATTTCAAATGACCTGACAGTGCTGTGTGCACGACTACGCGGGTCACTCGGGGTCGTGTTACCTTCTCCTTCGATGCGATATGCAAACCACCTGGTTATAAACCACCACCGAGAATGTATCCCAGAGAACACGGCAAATGGCTCGACTTCTTGAACGTCCTTTGGACATAGCACCGAGGACGACTCTGGAATCGAGCAATGTAATGAATCTAGAATTAGGATGACGTTTAGCGCAATGTTTTCATGAGTGTTTTATGCACCCGGCATTCAAGCACATTTATGTGACCTTGCCTGCAAATTTTGTATCTTAACAGCTCGCGAAACTGCGGTGAATCGGCTAGCTCTTCAACCCACTCGGGATCCTCATGAAACGGCCGAGGGTCAGCAACCGCGGTGCGAATCACACTGCTCGGGAGGCTCGGGATAGCGCATGACTCACCGATGCGATCCAGCGACTTCAAGTGAGCTGTCAAGGGAATGACCGGAACTGTGTCACGCCGAGCTTGCCAGGCACCAGCCGCCATCTTGGCGCACAAGGGGTACGAAGCTGAGAACGATGACACTGCTTCTCCTACCCGGGGACGACGGCCGTACACTTCCTCAGCAGATGGTCGGCACAGATGGCAAAACTCCTCAACAGAATCCCTGGTGAACGATCCTTCCACGATAAAATGTTGATGCCTAGAGGGACAGGAGCAGGGCTGTTCAAGGCTATGAAACCACGGCGTGTTGTGAAGCCACTTTGACGGTTTTTAAAAGGGGACCCTAAAGCACAAAAGCACATCTTTGTGATCATGCACCCGCGGAACACCATGCGCTTGAACACGTCCAAATAGAACATTACTGATGAACCAGGCTGTTCTACACTGAAAAAGCATCCAGAAAGCATCACAAGGTTCATAAGAAACGCTATCCTAAGTGCAAGGCGAGTGTGTTCTTTAGTAAAAGAGTCATCCAAATCAAAACCAGCGGGACTAGTCTTAGACCTAATGCGGGGGCGGCGCAGTGCGCCATACGTCTTGCAGCCAGTCTGCCACCACACCGCGCGCTGCGAGGCTAGTCAGTTGGCTAAAAACTGATGGGTCAAGGATATCACCGAACTGCAAACCAGAACCGGCTACTTCGATGCCGCTGTGGGCGGTGAACCCTATCGCCTCGTGAGCTATGGTCCAATTCCCCTCGCCCCTGAACAATTCAATGCAATCAAACAAAATTCCCTCCTTCAAACTGCATGGAACACGGACCTGGGAATCAACGACCGCATGAGGCTGAGCGTCGGAAAACTCTTCGCTTTTACTAGCAAGGATTTCAGCAGCAGGGCTGAGAAGCTGTGTATAGTACCCCCGTTGTTCGCTATGTCGCCATAACTCTGCGACAGTGTCAGGAGATTCCGCAGCCTGACAAATCCCAGCTCCGTCAGGGCTGGCATCCGTGCAGAAAACATATATGGAACGTAGGAGGCCCGCAAGTCTGTTAAACACTGGGCCGAGACAACTCAATGCCAGGAGCTCGTCGCGCGTCTCTCTGCCCAGCACAAAAGCTTCATTCTGGGGCCGCCCAAGTCCTTCCGAAAAAGCATGTGAAAGAATGGCCAGGATCGGGCGGCGAAACATCAGCGCATGAATCCAGCAGCCGAGGATGCTCGAAAGCAAGCGTGGGCTCGCAGTACCTTGCCGGGCAACCAGCGCGGTGCACATCATCAAAACACCAATCCTATGCCTAGGGGCAGAAACAAGGCCCTTCAGGCCGTCCAATTCCGCTCCTAAGAAAATGCCAGAGGTAACATTGCGTTGCTTCTTTTTGGGGTGTTGTACTAAACGGACCCTGCGATAGGCCGACTCGGCGCCGGCAAAACCTCATCTGGAGTTGCTATTTGGACACAACCTGAATGCCAATATGATCGTCAATGGATAACCACTCCATGAAAGAGGACCTGGGGAACGGCCGGCGATAACTCACCCGTTCCCTATCATGCATGCTGCCACCAAGGTTCTGAGAACATTGCAATGAGACTGCTGAGCATCGAATAAGGATCAATATCTTTGGATATATGCACGAAACTAATTCGAGAAGGTCCACTTCCCCAATGGGCAGTTCCTGAGCAGCAGCAAATAACTGGCTGAACTTTTCACCACTGCGCCCAAGTGTTTGTGAGCTGAGCGGCCCAGGCCGCACAAAATAGTCAATCAACCGCTCAAGCCGACAGATCATGGCCCACTGCTCATCAGTATATGGGGTACCAACACACGCTTCAGGAGGAGGTGTCTGGGGTGACCCAGGCACTCCCAGTTAAGAGTACCTTTGACCCACTTGAGCAGATCGCGCCGAACTTCTAGCAGCTTACGCCGGCGACGACGACTTGGTGAAAGATGTTTAGGACCCGTCCAACTCCAGGCAGGTATGGGACAAGGCCCCAGTCGGGCACTGCGCACGCTGCGAGATTGACGCTGGCATGACAGCTTTACAAAATTAGCAAGGCCTACATGAACAGCAGCACCTGATTGTTGCACAAAAACTTGAAGTAAACTTTAAAAACTGACAGGCTCATCCGAAGGCTTCAGTGCAGGGATTTCTCCGTCGACCAATTGCCGACCAGCGTCCGCCTCTGATACATCACTATAACTACGCGACCATCCCAGGGCTCAAAAGAGTATAGTGGTCATTCGAACTATAGAGCATCTACGGGCAGCCCTCACAAGGCCAAAATCACCGGCCGACTTGGTCAGCGAAGCCTTCTCGGATTGGCTGTTGCGGCTCATGGAGCTGAGGATCGGGCTCCATCCTCCTTGCTTTTGCCTTTGCCCTTCTTCCCCTTCCAAGGTTTGCGAGGTGGAGGAGTCTCGGAAGTGGAACCGTCTCGGTCCGGCTTCTCGACCTTTGGGTTCTTCAGCCGACTCTCAAGGTAATCCAAATCCTTCAAATATGATATGTTGCCAGCGATCCAAGGAGCGGCCGCCAGTTTGGCATAAGGAGTGAGTCCAACTCGCTTCTTGTTCAGGGAAATGGCTTGCAGATTTGGATCTGGCATGGCGGTTAATAGCCAAGCTGCCTGACATCTGCCTTGGTCTATGGCCATCTGTTCGACCATCATCAACCCTCGACTCGAAGCTCATCTGCCAACCGCGCGGAACTGGGCCATGTGGGTGAGCTGTCGCTGCTCTCCCAGCCACATCCGCCGTTCTACATAGTTTCGCATCAGCCCCGACTCGACTTGAGCCAGGGGGATGCCTAGATCTTGAGCTGCATTTCTGGTGATGATCTTCCCCGTGCCCACAACATCCTGATGTAAGCGTCGCGGGCGACACAACCCTTGACACCCCCGTCGCTTCCAGCATGGCAGTCTGTGCCTTGGCCACAGATCGGCAAACAGATGTTGATCTGGCTTGGCTCTCGGAGGTGCGACAGCCTCGGCGCGAGACAGTCTTGCCGGAGCAGGCCCGGCCAGTTGCTTCAAGCGATTCATATAGTGGCTCCGCTGAGGGTGTCATGCACGCTGGAAGGATCGAACAAAACTGAGCGACGTCGAGAAAGAGGACGAGGCTCCAAATCGATGACAGGCTGCGGAGTTCGACATGAAGCCTGGGCGGCCTCGAGTTCGGCTACGCGGGCTTGCAGTTGTTGAAAACGTACGCTCCGCTGAATCTCCCTCCCTGGGCGCCAGTCTCGGCATCGGGTAAGTACTCGGCCAAAGCATCGTCCAGCCGGTCCATGTCCACTATCCAGTGGTCTGCGGTGGTCAGCGCGGAACTGGTTGAAGGACGGGCCACACTGTCTCAAACGGAGCAGGCCTCTTTGATTGCGCCCCCTCAAAACAGGGGTGTGGCAAAACCAGTCGGCACACTCGGCAGCAAAGTCGGCAAAAGCATCTGGCCTGATCCGAACTTCCTGCCTCGAGAATCCTCTAAATTGACACTGAAGGGGCGCAAAACTACCAGGCTGACTCCATCTGAATCTGGGGCTTGATCGAGGATAGCCTGCACTTCGGCAAGCTCTGGCAGAGCGACCATGAAACCAATGGGCCGACAATTCAAAAGGTAGGATAGCACCCGGACTTCTGACTCGGTTTTTCGGGGTCTATCAAAATTGCAGTGGGCAAAGCCCGCTGAGGCACGATGTCTCGTACCTGTCTCTGAATCACCTCAAAGCTCAGCGGTTCCAGTTCCAGCGGCCATCTAGGGAAGTGGCAGCCTCGCAGAAAAACCTCAGCCTCTCTCTCTCTAGGAAATGCGTGAGAGATCGACCCAGCTTGCAGGCCGTCAGCGGTTGCCAACACTCTGCAGTAAGTGGGGCAAGACCAAGTACAGCAGCCCTCTGGGAACTGTTCACTGCGGATCACAACGTAGATCCGATTGTCAAATGGCAATGACGCTGAATTGGCTTGCTTGTGAAAAAACGATTCACACGGAGAGCAGAAACACCAGCACGAAAAGCCCGAGCCGGTCGCGCTTGCAGTGTCCAGTCAGGGTGAGGTTCAGAGATGTCCAGCTTAATTACAAAGGGTTCCAAAAATGAAGGGAAAAGTTGGTGAAGATCTTGAGGGGTCCGAGCTTGCAGCAATACAAGCGTATAATCCGCTGATAATTCAATTGCAGCACAACGAGGACCGCGCAGCTCAGCCAAGGGACGTTCTTCGACGTCCAACACTCGCAAATCACCCACCCGCCTTCCAGGGAACACCTCAGTAAACCGAAGAGGAGTGTGGTCCGAGGAGCTCAAAGGACTCCGCGGCGCAGCAGGGGAAAGAACGGGAGCAGCAGCAGCGCCGTGCTCAAGACCGCGTTGGAAGAAGCTATTCAACCACAGCCGTATGCCACAACACCCCGCGCTCATGCACGGTATCCCCGAAACCCGCCCCTCAGTTCAAGTGAGTCCGGAGGCACAGGAGCTTGCTGCCAAATCTGATCAGCTGCAATCAAAAAGGGCCAGATCCAGGCCCTGCACCGTGGAGCTGCCAAGCAAATCCCCAAGCACAAGCCGCTGCAAAAACAAAGGGATGCAGTGATCAGGCCAATCAGCAATATGGCACCAAGTGGGCAGCTAGATCCTGAAAAGGCCAACGGACCTCGCGAAAAACCTCAAGAGCTGGTCCCAAAACGGCCAGACTCATGAGCCTCAAACAGCTGCCTTTGATGCAACAGCTGCCCAGTCAACCTCAAATGACGAAAACATATATAATGATAATCTGAAGTAGGCTTTTGAAAGAGCTCCAGGAGTGGAGTGTTGCCAATGGCTGTTATGCAACTGCAGGCAGAGAGTACAGGAATATTAATATGAAGCTATACGCAATCATTTGCATGCATGGAATGCCAGTTGACTCTTGATTGACTTTGTCCTTTTGTGGAGAGGTGTGTTTCTTCGATTTCTGGTAAAGGCGTGCTAGCCGAGCGACGTGTGAAATGTGACCGGGGTCACTTGATCTTGCCAGGCTTCGCACACGCCTGTTCATTTTGTATGCTCTTGCGGGGAGGCGCTCCTCCCCACCCTTCCTCCCACACCATGAAACCTGCACTTGGTATCCTTGGTATCCCCGATCCCCTTTGTCACGAAGTGTGTTTTCGTTTGAATTTTTGGAAAGAAAAATGTGTTTTTCTCAGACCGGAAGCTTCGTCTAAAAATGGTTGAAGAACTTTCGAAAACCGACCTCGTCGACATCTCGGAGGTGACCGGAAAGCAGTTAAAGTGCCAGAGTTCGACCCCATTTATGTCAGAAGCGGGAATCCAAATTTGTTGTTCATTTGGCTCGATGCTCTGGTCTGTAAACTGTGTTTCACCTGCCCATGTCACCCCATGAGATGACATCTTTGCATCAAAGAGAGGAGTACAAGTGCAATATTATGTCCCCACACTCTTCAAAGGTTTGCCAGCACCGCTTCTATCAGCTGACAGCACTCCAGGACAGCTCGTCTCAATGCCGAACCTTCAGCAAAGAAACAATTCTATAATTTGAAGAAACACAACAACTGCTGACATCGAAGAAGTTCAATCTCAGTTCTTAAGCGTTTGCGTCGCGCCGGAGTGACAGATAGTAGAAACATTTACAGCCACTTCCCCTTTCACGTCAGCATTTTGGTTTTTGCCCACCGAGCCTTCCTTTGTAGACGCAAATGTGTCCTGGCTCAACTCTTCCATTGTCACAGCCGTCTCCAGCCTCGCAAGGGTGAAGCCAACTCACGAAGAAGAAATAAAGAACGGGGAATCAGGAGGTAAAATTTGTCACATGCCTTTCATCAAAAAGAAATTGAACAACCAATCGGGAAGAAAACTGCAGCGCGCAATGTCCACATCAAGTTTTTTCAGGTCGAACTCTGTGATGGCTAGCTACTTCACCGGCAAGATCAGTCCATCACTTCTTTGTAAAAGAAGATCAGGGAAACGAAGGGCCACCAGTTGTGTGCCAAGGCCACCTTCTGGCAAACCTCACACTGAACTCGCTCCAGACTCTGCTCAGCTCAAACGTTCAAAACAAACAACAAAAAATAACGATGTATCAGACTATATATATATATCACTATATCAGCATCGGCCGCAAACAGCAGTTCGATCCTTCTCTTAGCTCAACCCCAACGAACCACAAGCATTCCGGTGAAGCTGGGCCATCCCCAATTCAAAAATGTAAAGGCTTAGCCACTTAGCGTAAACAAACACGAAAAGCCATCGGGGACAAACGGAGACGAAACAGAATCATGTCAACCCAAAATCCAAGAAGAGCCCTGGGGTCAAACGGAGACAAAGCAGAATCATCTCCCAGCATTCACGGACTGCCTTTTTCCCCAAACAGTTTACTGTTGGGGTTCTATCTTAGAAAAAAAAAGAGCTGGCCACACTCACGGGCCGCGCCCCTGAACTCTGTGGCTGGGCTCTGTGGCTGGGCGCTGTGTCCAGGCCTTGTCCTCCTCCTGTCCTGTGTGACTGGCTGCAAACCTTGTCCTTTGTCCTCCTCTTGGCCGCGCCCTGAACTCTGTGGCTGGGCTCTGTGAGTGGGCTCTTGTGTGTCCAGGCCTTGTCCTCCTCTTGTCTTCTGTGGCTGGGCTCCTCCTCTGGCCCTGTGTCCAGGCCTTGTCCTCCTCTTGCCGAACTCTGGCTGGGCTCCGCCACTTGTCCTGCCGTTGTCCTCTGGCCGCGCTGACCAAGCCTGTCCTTGCCCTGCTGTTGTCCTTGTCCTCCTCTTGTCCTGCTGTTGTCCTCCCCTTGTCGTCCTCTTGTCCTGCTGTTGTCTTCATCTTGTCCTTCTCTTGTCCGCCTGAAGCTTGCCTGGACTGCGCCCGGCTGACAATGGAAGGGCTTCTTCGAAGGCCGTACATTGTCCTGCGTTCGGAGCGTTGCAGGGCGGACTCTGGAACATCCGGTCAGCGCGCTCAGCGCGGAGGATAATTCTTTTTCACGCGTGGCCGTGGCCGTGGCCGGCTGGGCGTGGCCGGACGGTCGCGGCGGTGGCCATGGCCGGGTGGCTGTGTCCGTGGCCAGACGGTCGCGACCTACTGGCTGTATGGCCGGAAGGCCGTGGCCGTGGTTCAGAACCCACCAATCGCATCCGGTCATAGCTTCGGTCATAGCTTCTATGGTGGTTGCTGCAAAGGTGGAAAAGGAAGAGCAAGACGGTGTAACCGCTCAAACAGGATGACGGGGATGAAGTTCTTTTTCAAAAGTTTCCATTCTGCGCCAGAAGCAACAGCTGCGAGTGTAGAGAAGCAGAATAGGCTTGCGTCTACTACTAGATGGCTAGAATCAGAAGTCAGGCTGATCTATGTCATTGCAAGCGTTGAATCCTCCACAGAGACACGCCTGGTTGCTTCCGGGCGGGTCTTTGCGTGACTTTGCGACGCAGGTTTAGTAGAGATGTAGGACATTTGGCATGGATCCAGAAGCTGTGTAAACTTACGCAAAGAGTATATCCTTTCAGAATGCATAGTGTGTCTATATTGCGGACGTCTCTGGACTAGCAGCGAGCTATCGCTGCGCGGGGCGGTAAGTCACAGCGTACTGACACATGATTCAGCTTCAGTGAGGTGGAAAACGTGTTACTGAGAAGAAGTTTTCCACATCGAGGGTAGCTGGCTGATGTCAGCTACAATTCTGCAATACTAGTTTTGTAGGCTACACCCCTCCACAAGTTTCTGCTTGCAAACTCGAATGGCATGGCTTTGCATGCGTTGCGCGGCAAACTCAACGCTTGCATTGCGCTGGAAATGGCTGTCGCATATCTGAAGGGAATTAAAATCGCTCTGCTGCGCGACCACAGCAGGGTCGTCCTTTGCGGCTGCACCCCGAACGTGCAGGAGATGCTTCCAGCGTGTAGACGCATCGGATGTGCTGTGTGCATTGGGAATCTTTGATGCTTGTTTGGGGCAAAGGAAGCTTTGATTTACTCAATCGTGAGGTCCATTGCGAATGTGACTCGCGACGAGTTTGGCCCTAGTCACCTTCCACGTGTATACCCATACCCGTCGATTTAAATACAAACAC